TTTGTAAGAAATGTCAATGTCCTTACGAACAGCACTGGAAGCAGAAACAAGTCTGAGGCACTGACCTTGAAATTGTGATTAACCATAAATACAGAGTGGTCCCTAATTATCTTGGTATTACTAGTTCAGGGCATTTGTTATGCCTTGGTTCGGTTAAGGGATTTCTGTCGTGTGAAATTTTATAAAAGCAGAACTGTAATTGTAAAATTATTCTTTTCCATATCCTTCACTTTATAATTCTGCTTTACGCACCAGGTTTTAGTTAACCTTAAACGTACGTTACTACGTTTTTAGCCTGTTCCGGCAAAAATATATAACATATAACCAACCTGAAATAAAATGACACTTGGCCCCTCATGTTTTGGGGGCTGCAGGAAAGTTCAGTAGCTAAATCGTCACAATCAAAAATACTACGCTTCTGTTTTCCTGGTCGTTACTTATGAAGAATTATCAAGTCGTTGGGATGGTTCCTTAGTGCCATATACCACTGTAAATTATTTTAAGTGGGATTTTATTTGGAGTCAGTCAAACCAACTGCGATTTATATAACAGTTTCTTGTCCCAACTTTTCATATCTTGAGCAACTTACTCTTTCAAACTGATTTACAAATAATTTTGCATTTTCAGCTGTAGGAATAGATTTGCGTGTTTAATAAAACGCAGAACGGAAATAAATAACAAAGCCGAGAGAGATGACGCCGATGACGCCTACCTACTGGTCCATGGGGACACCTGAGGTAGGCAAACGACGGACGAATACGTGTGAAAAATTCAGGTGAACTGCGACGACACACCTGACTAATGCTAGCACTACTCAATCCCTAAGGCAGAAGCTATGGTCGTTCCTAATGTACTTTGCTATTTTTTCTACATTTTCTTACGCATTTATGTTGGTGACATGAGTCGGCAAGCGTCAATTTCTTTACACAGCACGTGTTTCCTATTCGGAATTAAGGTAATGCGGGCCAATGAGGAGAGACTGTGATTAAGAAACATTGAAATGACACAATCTGACAGGCGGTCTTTAACGTACTCCCTCGCTTTCGACTTCATACTCCCATTCCAGCGTCTCCGCCATAACTGAAGAGCCCTTGAAATAATTTTCAGACGGCCCTTTTTAAGTACCGTCGACATTTTTTAAATAATCAGAAATGGCACAATGTTACGGGAAATATTTTCGGGAAAATTAAAGGCACACGGTAACACAATATTGATAGAGTCTACTGGTATTTCTTTGGTTGCGAGCCTGAAGGCTAAATCACGTGTAAAAATCCTGGGTCTTTTGTCCTTATCAATGAATACGTTGCCGTAATTGTTCAAATAACTGAAGGTAAAATTCTACGTTGACTATTTTGGAAGAAAGAATTTGTGACAGGTACATGAAGATAAGATGGATTCTCTGTGAAATCATAAATACGCCGATGCAATTTTTGTTTCTAAATCGAACTCTGACGTGAAATGAAACAAGAACACTTTAAAATGAAAACAAAAACGAAGACGACTGAGAAAACCATCATAGACAAGGCACACAAGAACAACATCGCAAAACATTACTTGTCCAGGTCGCCTAACTGTTCGTTACTTATTCGCTGCTGTTCCTACAGAAGTCGTGACTCCTTACTGGGTCATTCCCAGCTCCTGCGGGCTGCTTCATTCAACTGTCAGGTCAACCCCAGCCCCTGTTACAACACAGAGGTCGTGACCTGAATGCACCACTTGCTGTCCTCTCTATGAGGCAGTTACTGTTCTTGCATCCAGTATCTTTTAAATATCCCATAAACGAGTTAGATCAGATTTAAAATTCAAAAATCTGAAACCTGTGAAAAATGTTCCGTTTTCAATATACATAGTAAAATTTCACCAACTTTTGTGTCGATTTCCTTCTTTTATTGTCATTATTTGTGTACAACGGAATGGAAGGTTACTGAAATGACAAAGTTCTCACGTAGAACTACTTAGCCGACAAAAAAAGAAATGTGTATCAAAATTTCAAACACCTTATTGTGAAACTTACATTTTAAACTCGTCGCAATCACCGTCATCCGCGCGTTTCAGACATAAATACTATTTTCATTTTCATTTATTTTCTTGTAAACAGTCCTAAAATCACGTACACTATTCTCGCGTTCTGTATTTCTTTGCATCATTTTACTATATTACGCTATGATTTTGTTTTAGTCCTTGAGTTTAAATGTAATTTCTGTTGCTACCAAGCAATTTAATAAGTTAAGTAAATTAATGGCATTAGTTCGGTGACAGTTACATATCCCTATAATTTGGACAAGCACAGATTA